GTGTTTGAAGTAGGGGTGTCAAGATGGACCAGGCTCTGCTCAGTGGTGCCAGGCAATAGGACAAGGACAATGTACAGAAACTGATGCACAGGAAGTTCCACCTGAACATGAGGAAGAGCTTCTTTATGGTGTGGGTGAGAAAGCACTGGAACAGATTGCCCAAAGAGGTTTAGTCAAGAATTATCTGGGCATAATCCTGTGCTGTGTGCTCTGGGATGACCCTGCTTGAGCAGGGAAGTTGGAGCAGATGCCCCATCTGGTTGTGATGCCTTCCAACCTTACCCATTCTGTGATTACATAATAAGGTGTTTTTTAAAAACTCACCTTGCATAGAAAGGCAAAAGTAAGGGCCTCTTTAAAAGGCCTCTGTCCTCTTTAATTCTGGATATTTTTGCTTAAGTTCCTGATAACCACATCCCAGCTTACCACATAAAAAATGGAGACTTTGACCAAATGGCATTTAAACTTTACAGTCAAAACACAGCACTTTCAACTCAGGTGCTATGCTAGCTTCAGAAGTGATAGGAGTTAAAGAAGGGGACATGAACATCTCTTAAGGACAGACTCTGCTAGCGATGCCTGACCCAATCTGTAAGATGTCTGACCCTCTGTTCATGAAGACAGAACAGGGAGGACACTCTGAAGCCATTCTGGAAATGGTTAAGCACAGTGCAACCTTCAAATAGAAGCTCCTAATTTGTACCAAGAAAACATCTCTACCATCACAAGTCATCATTCTGCCCAAGACTGATTGCTTTTGATTGAGGCTGCCAGGCCTGTGTAGCTGCTGAGACACAGGGCAAGAGACACATAATACCTATTACCTCCTTGTTGATCAAATGACAAGTAGGACTTTCTGCTGCCATTTTTCTTTAGTTTTTGCTCCCAGATTCCATTGCTGCCTGTCAGTGACTATAGGAGTATTAGAACTTGCTTTTCACTCATGCCATCTAAAATCATGAGAGCAAACTCAATGCATAGGAATTTCTGCTAGTGATGTTCAGCGTCTTAGTTTACAGCTACGCTTGCAAACTCATTCACTGAGACTCATCACATTGTATTAGATAAAATAGGGTGAATAAGGGTGGGAAAAAATTAATCATCTAATGTAGAATTTCAGACAGTGAGATCTTCCAGCTGGGGCAGTTGTCAAGTTTGTCAGTGTTCCTGCTCACTGGGCTTGGCAGTGACCCTTGTGGTAGGGTAACTGATCACCTGGTCCATACAGAGCTTTTGAATGTCACCACATAACTAGTGATAAAGATGTGCTTTTCAGAGTAACCTGATGTAAAGTCTGTACCTTTTTGTACTCATTCCCTTTTTGCAGCTGGCATACTGTTGGTGTTATGCAGCCATCTAGAGGGCCTGGTGTCTGTGCTGGCTTCAGACAGGTGACCAGAAACCACAAAACTGCAGGAAAACAAACTCTGCTGACCCTTAGTGGCTGTAACTCAGCTCCAGTGCTTTGGAATTTTTTTTTACAAGTTTAGGACTGCTGTTTTGGTTCTGTTATGCAGTCTGTTGTCAATTTTTTTGGCAGGGGGGAAACCTGCCAAAACTAACCTGATGAGGGCAAAAAACTGGGGGAGCAGTCAGAGAATAGCATCATAGAGGAGAACATCCCTGACCCTGAAATTTTACAGCAATTCCACAGAGTAAATGCAATTCATACATCTAGGGGCTATCACAATTGACACCATAAACTGAAGGTGAGTCATTCTTTGGGCAAAGAGAGACAGCAAAAATGGAGGAAAAGGAAAAAAATCCATTCAAGACTAGGCTCTGACGGAGAGATAAATTATTGGAGATATTAGGAGGTGCTTGTCTGGTTCAGATAAAGAAGACAGCTCCTTGTACTGATGAGACTGATAACTGACTGGAGGAGAGTGTGTGGAAAAGGATCCAAGGGTGCTGGTTGACAGCCAGCTGAACATGGGCCAGGTGGTCAAGAGGGGCAGTGGCATTCTAGCTTGTACCAGCTATAGTGTGGCCAGCAGGACCAGGGCAGTGATTGTCCTGTACTGGCCAATAGTGAGGCCACACTTTGAGTGCCCTGTCTGGTTCTTAGCCCTTCACTACAAGTAAGATGTTGAGGCACTGGAGCATGTTCAGAGAAGGGCAATGGAGCTTGTGAAAAGTCTGGACAATGAGTCCTGTAAGCAGCAGGAGAGGGAGCTGGGGGTGTCTACCCTGGAAAGATGGTGCTCAAGGGTATCATCCTCTGCCTGGTGTAGCCAGGTAGAGGTCAGTCTCTTCTGGGCAGCTCTTGACAGGACAAGAGGACATAACCTCAAGCTCCACCAGGAGAGGTTCAGGTTGGACATTGGGAAGAATTTCTTTGTGGAAAGGATAGTTAAGGATTAAAACTGGCTGCCCAGGGAGGTGGTGAAGCCACCCTTCCTGGAAGTGTTGAAGAAATGAGTGGATGTGGCACTTAGCACTATAGTTTAGTTGACATGGGAATATTCAGGCAAAGGTTGGACTTGATGATCTTGGAGGTTTTTTCCAGGCTTAATGATTCTGTGATTCTTTGATTCTATGTCTTCACCTGGAACGTCAGATAGAAGCCTGGCTTTCAAAGATCTGGAAACAGGAATTTGAGGATGCACCCAGGTGATCAAGGGAACAGAACTATTATAAGTGGAATTTAAAGATTCTATCCAGTAGGATATGAAATATTTCCCGCTATTAAAATATGACATCACTGCTCTCAGCAACAGAGAGGATTAGAAGTCACACGGTGCAAGATCAGATGAGCATAGATTGCTCAAACCTTTGGGACTGGAAAGTCAGTGTGCTTTTAACTCTAGGAAAAATGAGATTCATTAGTCATGACTGCAGTGCCAGGAGGAAGAAGCCCTTGCTAAAAGGCAGGTTGATCCAGGAGGGAGTTGTCACCACCACACTTCCAGCCTCATGCTCCTGCTTTGGTGGTGGTGTTCAGACCTGCTAATTTATCAGACTGTGTTGCGATAATGGTAAAAACAGTGTCCCAGCATAAGTGTGCCTTGTACTCTGGTAGGAGTGGGAGAGAGGGCTGTGAAAGGCTATTATGGACACCCCGTAGCAGTGTGTATGGGCTGTAGGTGTGTGTACAGCCTGTAGGTATGTGTAAACCCTGTACGTGTGAATGAGGTGGTCACTACTCAGGAAGGAAGAAAAGGAAGAATTTGTAAACAAGGCAATAACCAAAAATCCCTATCCCTGAGGGAGCTGCAAGACATCCATGAAGATTTCAGCCACTCTGTGACTGTATATGTACACCCTGTAGGTGCATGCACACCCCATGGTGTGTATGGAGGCCCTGTAGGTGTATGTATGCAGGTGTATGTATGCAGGTGTATGTATGTAGGTGTATGCATGCCCTGTAGGTGTGTGCACACCCCGTGGCTGTGTATGCAGGCCCTGTAGGTGTATGTATATGGGTGTATGTATGCAGGTGTATGTATGCAGGTGTTATGTATGCAGGTGTTATGTATGTAGGTGTATGTATGCAGGTGTATGTATGTAGGTGTATGCACGCCCTGTAGGTGTGTGCACGCCCCGTGGCTGCGTATGCAGGCCCCTGTAGCTGTGCACACCCCTCAGGCGAGCGGGCTGCAGCGCCGCCCAGCGTT